AAATTGAAGAGATTATATCAGAACATAATTGAAAATAATAAAATAATAATCATTTTTATTATTATAATTATTATTTTATAAATCCTTAGCCCTTCTCTGAAGGCGTAGAAGGCCCATTGTTCCCCACTGTGTTTGGGTTAGTAATCATTTGTAGAGTGTCTCTATTTTCCCTCAGCATGCATTTTTTCACTATTCTGAATGTCTAAAGAATCCATTTGTTGTTCTGAAATATGAACACAGAAATACTGGACATTTCAAATCAAATCAAATCAAATCAAATTGTATTTGTCACATGCGCCGAAAACAACAGGTGTAGACCTTAAAGTGAAATGCTTACTTACAAGCACTTAACCAACAATGCGGGGGGGGGGGGGTATGCTCTACCCTCTGTAGTGCCTTGCGGTCGGAGGCCGAGCAGTTGCCATACCAGCGACCGGGAGACCCATGGGGCGGCGCACAATTGGCCCAGCGTCATCCAGGGTAGGGGAGGGAATGGCCGGCAGGGATGTAGCTCAGTTGGTAGAGCATGGCGTTTGCAACGATAGGGTTGTGGGTTCGATTCCCACGGGGGGTATGAAAAATAAAAATAAATAATGTATGCACTAACTGTAAGTCGCTCTGGATAAGAGCGTCTGCTAAATGACTAAAATGTAAATGTAAATGATGCAACCAGTCAGGATGCTCTTGATGGTGCAGCTGTAGAACCATTTGAGGATCTGAAGACCCATGTCAAATCTTTTCAGTTTCCTTAGGTACGATTCAATAGGTTTTGTCATGCCCTCTTCATGACTGTCTTGGTGTGCTTGGACCATGTTAGTTTGTTGGTGATGTGGACACCAAGGAACTTGAAGTTCTCAACCTGCTCCACTACAGCCCCGTCGATGACAATGGGGGCGTGCTCGGTCCTCTTCTTTTCCTGTAGTCCACAATCATCTCTTTTGTCTTGATCACGTTGAAGGAGAGGTTGTTGTCCTAGCACCACACAGCCAGGTCTCTGAACTCCTCCCTATAGGCTGTCTCGTCGTTGTCGGTGATCAGGCCTACCACTGTTGTGTCGTTGGCAAAGTTGATGGTGTTAGAGTCGTGCCTGGCCATGCAGTCATGGGTGAACAGGGAGTACAGGAGTGGACTGAGCACGCACCCCTGAGGGGCCCCTGTATTGAGGATCAGCGTGGCAGATGTGTTGTTACCTACCCTTACCACCTGGGGGGCGGCCCGTCAGGAAGTCCAGGATCCAGTTGCAGAGGGAGGTGTTTAGTCCTAGGGTCCTTAGCTTAGTGATGAGCTTTGAGGGCACTATGGTGTTGAATGCTGAGCTGTAGTCAATGAATAGCATTCTCACATAGGTGTTGCTTTTGTCCAGGTGTGAAAGGGCAGTGTGGAGCGCAATAGAGATTGCATCATCTGTGGATCTGTTGGGGCGGTATGCAAATTGGAGTGAGTCTAGGGTTTCTGGGATAATGGTGTTGATGTGAGCCATGACCTTACTTACTCACATCGGCTACGGAGAGCGTGATCACACAGTCGTCCGGAACAGCTGATGCTCTCATGCATGTTTCAGTGTTACTTGCCTCGAAGCGAGCATAGAAGTAATTTAGCTCGTCTGGTAGGCTCGTGTTACTGGGCAGCTCGCGGCTGTGCTTCCCTTTGTAGTCTGTAATAGTTTGCAAGCCCTGCCACATCTGACGAGCGTCAGAGCCGGTGTAGTACGATTCAATCTTTTGAACTCTTATTATGGTGGTGATTTGACAAAATTACAATCATGGTCTTGAATTGGACTCACATTTTTCTGGTCTCGGTCTTGACTCGGTCTCGGACCCCTTGACCCCCTCCCGGTCTCGGTCTTGACTCAGTCTCGACCCCCTCTGGTCTTGGTCTTGAATCGGTCTTGCTTTAGGTGGTCTCGAACACAACACTGGTAAGTCATGTAGTATTTTATAGTAAACTGTAGTATTTGTTATGTTGGATAGGATGAAATCTATTTTATAAGAGCGATCAAGAGAGATTTAGTGAGACTCGACTTTGAATTGTTTAAAGCTCGGACTGAAAATGAAATCCAGTCAACCTGAATACCACTGAAGTTTGTTGTGGGCAGAGAATATTTTCTTCCCTCTTCGAAGGGCAATATGAAGTAGAATATTGAAGAGATGTCATATGAGGTTTGGGTTAAGCCCAGGGAGAGGTAAACAAAAGTGTGTATTTGGGCCCATAGATAAACTCCTTTGAAGTCTTCTTAATATATATATTTTTTATAATCAAAGAACACAAAAGCACAAACCCCCATATAAACAAAGAAGAAAGTAAAGTTGAATTCATCAAGCTCTTGCTGGTGCAATCAACATTGGGTTCTTGTAATTCACAAAGGCCCTTTCTTATGCATGCCTTTCCTCCTCACTTCTCAGTAGTTGGTATTCAGACTTACCTTATGAAGGTGCATAACGGGCTTTGCAGGCGTGGTTCTCTTGCACGTGCTGAATAAATGTAATTCAACCACTGAAAACCCTCCCACTTGCTGGCCAACAGATTTTCTCGTGAAGTTTTCATTCCATAGGGTTTTCAGTACATTTATCTTAAGCCATCCCTTTAAATACGGTGTACCTTTTAGTTTGAATTTTGTCGACACTCAATAGAATATATAGAGAGAACGGTCCAGAATATTAGGGATCAGTGAAAGAAAGGCATCTAAATATCTGCATATTTTTCTCAATTTCAGCACCGATTGGTAGATTAAAAAATACTCTGATCTTGTACACTATTTAGGGTTAGGAAAGTATTTACGAAACATAAAAAACAGGTTTGGAGAGCCTTTATGCATGAAAGAAAGAAAACGGTAGTTTGATTCATTCAGAAAATTGCCACATTCAATTCTTGAAACCATGGTAATGTTGGAAGATTAGTGTACATATAATTATAATAGGGAGAATAGTGTACAATTGCCTGCACTAACCATGGATCTGTGGGTGACACAGCCAAGTATTGCACCATGCATCAGGATCAAACTGTTATGGCTTGGTCTGCGATCCGCTCCATAACTACATCAACTGTTACTAATTATCCCCTGACCTTATTTATGGTTTCCTTGCGCGTAAAGATGGTGGAATTATTAGGGAATTAATTCAAGGTCAGAATATGGCATATCTGTAGACACACCTCCGCCACACCTTCATTTATTCCATCTCCACCCAAAACGAATAGCAGGTGAGTAGCACACTATTCTCATGCTTAAGTTCAAGGTCAGAATACGCAGAGAGAAAAGTGCATAAAAAGAGAATTATGTTCCATTTACGCGCACTTAACTGGGGTCTGAATCGGGCCCAAAGTGACTGCCTGTTCACTGTGTTATTTAGAATTGCAATTGGATTTGAAACAGAAGCGATTTCCTTCCAAATAGATTTCTCTCTCCCAGAACAATTTAGAGAGAATCTGGCGATGGCGTAGAATGCATGTCACTCCAATAAGTTAATATAGAAATAGTGTCACTCAAGCGTGGATATATTGTGTTAAACACACTTTTATTGTTTGGGTGCCTAATGAAACAGTGTCACCATTCATTTAGGGAGGGAGAAAGAGTAAATGGTCACATAAAAAAATATAAAATTAACAATGAAAATGGTAACCCAGGGAAGGTCTGGTTCCCCGTGGCAACAACGACGTACAATTGAGACAGTGTCCAGACCCAGATGTATATGTGTTTGGTTTGCACGTTTCCACAGTCTATTATAATCTCAAACGATGAAGTCCTTTTTTTTTATTTACTAGCCATGCATACAGTTGACAATTCCACATGTGTTGAGTCAGTGTCTTCATAGGAGCTGGCACTTTCCATACAAAATATTTACACTACCGTTAATTATAATTGTTATTCATCATCATCATCATCATTAATATTATTAGCCTACTATGAATTTCAATATCAATACTCTGAATACATAAAGAGTGGGATGTTGAGAAAACGTCACATCCCATTTCATTGTGATACCCAATCAGTAGAGAATGATGAGTGATGGCATCTTCATTCTAAATGTTACCCATTCCTGAAAATAAGACAGTTTCTAGAGACAGAGTCTGTTGAGATATTCAAACACTGAAAGATGGAGTCCTCCTTGTCCCATCCGAATGAAACTGTTACAATATTCAGGAATCTGTTGTCAGAACCTCCTGAAACCAAAACAAATCACAGGATATGTGACAGACACCTCTGCTACACTTATCATAACATCTCCAAAAGGAGAACATTGTTTCAAGAAGTTTCAAGAATGACACTGACTTTTCCACCATTTTCTTTCCATTCCTCAAAACAAATAAAAAGGAAACAAGAGAAAAGAAAATGGAGGCGCTTTCAAGTCACCTCTTTGGTTCTGCCCTAGTGATGAGTAAAAAAAATAAACGTCCCCTTGGATGAAGGTAGGTAGGCCCTCTCTTTTCCTGCACAGGTAAACCTAGTACACGAATCAATTACTCATCAATGTTTCAAACAAGTTGATCAGAGGGATTATCTCCTCTTGGGTCTGTGCAGTCGCTATCTGCCGCTCTGTTCTGTCATGGTAACTTAAAATGGAGAAAGAACGCTCCAGCTTGATGTGCTCAGAGAAACTGGGTCATATCAACAAAACCAAAACAATGTAAAATAAACATATTACCGAAGCCGAACGCAGAAAACATAAAGACTACAAAACCTGTAATTCCGCACGGACGACTCAAGACATATTTTTTTTAACCGCCAGAGAAAACAGGATAACATAAGGCGAGTGCACTTTCCTTTAGGGGTTTTGTCAATTTATCTTGCGCAAATGCTTTGCATTCCTCATTCCATTCTATTAATTATTAACATATAATTATTATCAATTACATCATGACTGATTTTATGCACCAATTAGTTAAAATCCACCACAGTTCTACCATGAGTTTATTAATCATCCATGTTGTTGGTGTGAGTATTATCTTCCTGTATGCAGACTTCCTCTCTCCCCTGTCCGCCTGGCGTCCCCTAAGCGCTGGGGCTATTGTATATTGCAGGAGGAGCAGCATGGGTCATCCTTGTCTGGCTGGGCGGCGTAGTCCATCTGCCGAACGATCTCGGCGAACAGTTCGTCCACCATGGTTTTGCTCTTGGCCGAGGTCTCCATGAAGGGGCAGCCCCACTCCTCGGCCAGAGCCTGGCCCTCGCTGGCCGACACCTCCCTCTCACTCTCCAGGTCCACCTTGTTCCCCACCAGGATCACTGGGACCTTCTCGTACCTGCAGACGGCACACACAAACAGATGGAGAAAATGATTAGAAACCATCTTGTGACATGAATATATGGACAGTCACTGACTGTCAAGGCAGATCGGAATGAGACACGAGGAGATGTGATTTGCTAAAATGTTAAACTGAGATTTAGAGGTGCCGTGTACTCCATGAAGAGCTGACTAGTTTCGCAGCCCTTGTGTTTTAACTGTACCTGACGTCCTCTCTGCACTCTCCTAAATGTACAGTTAATAGGCATAATTGCAATCTAGAATGAAAGCTTCACTGGCACATCAAGATGTTGTCAATAAATCATGTCATCCATAAATAATTACATTAAATCCGTGTGGCACATTTTCCTGAAATATACAGTGTATTCGGAAAGTATTCAGACCCTTCCCTTTTTCCACTTTTTGTTACGTTACAGCCTTATTCTAAAATTGATTAAATAAATAAGAATCCTCATCAATCTACACACAATACCCCATAATGACAAAGCGAAAACAGGTTTTTAGAACTGTTTGCTAATGTATTCAAAATGAAAAACAATGTTTTACTACTGAAATACCTTACTTACATAAGTATTCAGACCCTTTGATTTGAGACTCGAAATTGAGCTCAGGTGCATCCTGTTTCCATTGATCATCTTTGAGATGATTCCACAACTTGATTGGAGTCCACCTGTGGTAAATTCAATTGATTGGACATGATTTGGAGAGGCACACATCTGTCTATATAAGGTCCCACAGTTGACAGTGCATGTCAGAGCAAAAACCAAGCCATGAGTTTGAAGGAATTGTGCGTAGAGCTCTGGGACAGGATTGTGTCGAGGCACAGATCTGGGGAAGGGTACCAATACACAGTGGCCGCCGTCATTCTTAAATGGAAGAAGTTTGGAACCACCAAGACTCTTCCTAGAGCTGGCCGCCCAGCCAAACTGAGCAATCAGGGGAGAAGGGCCTTGGTCAGGGAGGTGACCAAGAACCCGATGGTCACTCTGACAGAGCTCCAGAGTTCCTCTGTGGAGATGGGAGAAATTTCCAGAAGGACAACCATCTCTGCAGCACTCCACCAATCAGGCCTTTATGGTAGAGTGGCCAGACGGAAGCCACTCCTCAGTAAAAGGCACATGACAGCCCGCTTGGAGTTTGCCAAAAGGCACCTAAAGGACTCTCAGACCATGAGAAACAAGATTCTCTGATCTGATGAAACCAAGATTGAACACTTTGGCCTGAATGCCAAGCGTCACGTCTGGAGGAAACATTGCACCATCCCTACGGTGAAGCATGGTGGTGGCAGCATCATGCTGTGGGTATGTTTTTCAGTGGCAGGGACTGGGAGACTAGTCAGGATCGAGGGAAAGATGAACGGAGCAAAGTACAGAGAGATCCTTTATTTTTACTTTTTACCCCTTTTTCTCCCCAATTCCGTGATATCAAATTGGTAGTTACAGTCTTGCAACTCCCGTACGGACTCGGGAGAGGCGAAGGTCGAGAGCCATGCTTCCTCCAAAACACGACCTGTACAACTGGCGACCGAAGTCAGCGTGCATGTGCCTGGCCCGACACAAGGAGTCGCTGGAGCGTGATGGACAAGGACATCCCGACCGGCCAAACCCTCCCCTAACCTGGACGACGCTGGGCAAATTGTGCCCCGCCTCATGGGTCTCCCGGTCGCAGCTGGCTGCGTCACAGCCTGGGATCGAAACAGAGAGATCCTTGATGAAAACCTGCTCTAGAGTACTCAGGACCTCAGACTGGGGCGAAGGTTCACCTTCCAACAGGACAACGACCCTAAGCCAACGAACCACACAGCCAAGACAATGCACGAGTGGCTTCGGGACAAGTCTCTGAATGTCCTTGAGTGGTCCAACCAGAGCCCGGACTTGAACCAGATCTAACATCTCTGGAGACCTGAAAATCGATGTGCAGTGACGCTCCCCATCCAACCTGACAGAGCTTGAGAGGATCTGCAGAGAAGAATGGGAGAAACTCCCCAAATACAGGTGTGCCCAGCTTTTAGCGTCACACCCAAGAAGACTCGAGGCTGTAATCGCTGCCAAAGGTGCTTCAACAAAGTACTGAGTAAAGGGTCTGAATACTTATGTAAATGTCATATTTCAGTTTTGTATTTGTAGTAAATTTGCAAAAATGTAGAAAAACCTGTTTTTGCTTTGCCATTATGGGGTATTGTGTGTAGATTGATGAGGAATAAGGCTGTAACGTAACAACATGTGGAAAAGTCAAGGGGTCTGAATACCTTCCGAATGCACTGTATAATCTAAAAGGCCTGGGAATCACAGTTCTAAGAGGTGGCTTGCTGAGGAAGAAATCTATACTGCCCACATGCTATATTCCTATTACTATGAGTGACAACTCGAGTACTTAACAAGCCCAGCAGTCAACAGGAAGTGGGAAAAATCACCCACAATCCCTTAGGGGCAGGAAGAGGCCATAATCTGGTGAGCTTTAAACTCTCCTCCAAATTGGTTGAGTGCTCCCACTGAGGAACTGGGTTACTTGCACGAGGGCCAGAAAGACATTGTTACATCATATTTTTAATGAAGGACCTTAAGTCTTCAACGTTTTATAATACTAACACTCTCAATGAAGAGTACCACAAATATTTAACGGACATGATTCAAAATGTCTCCATCTTATTGATCAATGCAAAGAATCAGTTTTATTGACAACATTTCAGAAAATTGGAGACATGCCATGAGGAGTTGCTGATATTGGCGTGGTGCATCCAAGGAATTAGGAAACTCTATTTCGGATACATCACAGAGAATAAAGCCTCTGCTTTTATTTATTATCTGCAAGTAGGAGCTCTCTCACTAGTGATAATATTAACCAGAACACACCCGCTATGAACCCCACTCAGAACGCCTCTCTTCTCATGTTATTGAGCACAAACAGATCACAGGAGAATCATGCTCCTTGACACCTTTCAGCATCAAAGGTTAGCCTCCCTGTATGAAATATTCATGCCTCTAAATTATTTAACGCTATTTGACAGGAAAAAACACTCGTCCTTGATTGCTATGGTAACAGGTACACAAGGACACTCATAGTGTTGGAGACTGGAGAGATAGAGAGAATCAATGACTAATACTTTCTTAAGTAGAGGAATCTGAGCTTCTCATGAGGGCCATGGTCTGCAGGTTCCGGTGCTAAATAAGCTTAATCTGGCAAAGAATAACGAGCTCAATTTTTTTAGTGATCCAATTGACATTTTAGTCATTTAGCAGACACTCTTATCCAGAGCGACTTACAGTTAGTGAGTGCATACATTTTTCATACTGGCCCCCCGTGGGAAACGAACCCACAACCCTTGCGTTGCAAGCGCCATGCTCTACCAACTGAGCTACAGGAGGGCCAATTGGATCTAGTCCTGAATATATTATCTAGAATTAACTCTAATCTCTGCCATCCCCATTCTGTGGGCAAGCCAAGAACTACAGGGATAAAACAGTAGACTTCAGGGGTCTGTGAGCTACCGTGTGTGACTATGAAGCACAATACAGTGGGCTACCTGCTAGCCAGCCACCACACATCTTGTTACAGTACAGCTGGAAAACAATAGCCTTTTGAACCCAAAACGTACAGTCCATCTATTGTTCAAACAGCTGAAACAGGTGTCGACTGAGAAAAAATAGCATTGATAGCATTCCTAACTCTCAGGTCTCTCTTGAAAAATAGATTTTTATCTCAATGAGAAAAACCTGTATAAATAAAGGTTAGCAATGCTATTTTGGAACACATCTTTGTGGCGACAGTAAAAATATGCAGTCAAACTATACACTCCCTCTCCGTGTTCATTGAGAGGCCCTAATCATAGTGGTGGGTGTGTGGAATGGAGGGCCGTGCCGGGCCAGGCTCTGCCTCTGTGGTGGCTGTACCCGTTAAGAGAAAACCCACATTGGGCACAGGTAATGATGGTCCCCTGCAGGGGTGGGCGTTTCTATTCTAAACAGGGCTGTGGTTGCGGGGCCATCGCTATTAGCCCTTGCTCATATGGAGTCATCACGAGCTCACATACTGCCTAGCCACCTCCAATTACAACCTGCTCTCCACACATTCATGGGAAGGCATGTCCTGAAGAACCCTGTGGCTCAGGGAACATGGATAACAGTGGGATGGGAGTGTGTGTTTATGCTAGAGCATGTGTGCGTTAGTGTGTGCACAGAGACAAGAGCAAAATTAGCACTATTTGGTAAGGGATTGAGCCTGGCTCTAAGACTCAGTGAGCTCTAATGGAAAATGATTTCTGATCCTCTGAAGAGCTTATAACACAACCTCTGTCCTCTGTGCTATTGTCACAGCTGTCTGCTTCTCAGCGCTCTGAAATGAAAATGAAATTCTATAGCAATGGCACTCACTGTAAAATCCACATGAAAACCACCCCAAAGAACCCCAGATGATCATGATGGATGATCAGCTAGAGAGGAGAGCAGTGACGGGAGAGAAGAAGTCAAATGAAAACATATCCTGCCATCCATTCCATACATTAACATAATGACAGACTTGATAGGCTACCTAACTGTCTCATGGCAGAACAGCCACTCCGAGGAGGAGTGCAGGCAGCACAAAGAAAAAACTTGTCATCTGGCGCCAAAGGAGGAGAGGGGCTATAAATAGCTGTAATAACAGAGGGGAAACCTGCAATCCCAGGAGGTGTGTGAGGACGGCTGCCACGGATACCAGAGCTTCACAGGGACTTAGCATGAAGGGTGTTGGGCACAATGGCCACTCTGGGTCTGGGCCAGGTGCTGGGTGCAGGCAGTGAGGATGGGGGTGGGCAGAAAAGGTCCAGGGTAGCTTATTCTTATTCCTCTACTGAGGTTTGAGCCCGTCGTTATGCATTCTCCACTCGGAAGTCGTGAGCAGTAGTCATCAACACACATAAACGGCCCAGCATGCCAACATTCCACATACCCTCCCACTGTCTGTATGTCTGCCTGTCTGTCTGTCTGTCAGTCTGACTACATGCATGTGGCTGAAACACTCTCGCTGCAAAACACCCAGCGCAGTTCTCCCAGACACCCCTATTTATAATGCATGATGCATCCACTGATATAGGCCTGGGCCTAGGGAAGCAGGGTGGGAGCTGCCTGGTGGTCTCTGGGCCCGGCCGCTGGGTTTATCGGGCCCTAGCTGAGCGACAGCCAGCCAGCCTGGCCTACATGGTGAAAAGGGCCAGCCAGGTCCCTGCACAGTGAGATGGAGTCTGTCCTGAGTCTCCTGTACCTCAGGCTGACTGTGTTTATGTGTCTCAGTGAGTCCACACAGTGGCGCCCTGCTGAGGAGTGGGTCTGACTGGAGCTGACTCAGGAGGCTGGATAAAGCTGAGTCAAGGGTACAAATGAGCTCCACCACAGTCCAGGGGAGAGGACTTTTAAATACATCTCCAGCTCCTGATCCCAGAAAGGCTGTATCGCACTAATGTCGGGATGTGCCAAAAAGATCCCTCTGCTATTTGGGAGGATGACTCATAAATGACAAAAGCAGACAACAGCTGAGATATTACTTTGGGCTCCTTGAAACAATCTCCTTGGATCCTTCCAACTGTCTCAAGGTAGCAAGAGGATATCCACGCCTTCCTGTTTCCTGTAAACCTCTGATACTATTCTCAGAATATGACAAGACGAGTTTGTCAAAAACGGGAGATGTTCCAGTTAGAAATGAAGCGAGTGACAAATGCTAGACATGCATTATTGTCATTGCTAGATTGGAGATATTAGACGGCCCACTTATGCCCTGTCTGCAGACTGCAGTTTTATGGGTGATTTGGTGCTTTTCTTCAGAAGACAGAAATACACCCACATTAGGCCCCCTCAAACATTCGGTCATGGTCTGATGAATGAGCTTGTTCCTCTTCCTGGAGGTTTAGAATAGCAAAATCAGAGGGAAAATAAATAAACCAAACACTCCTACAAATTACATAAAATATCTAATTTAATCAACATCACCAAATCTGAAATGTTACTGACTGTGTTTAATTTGAAATCTGTTTTTACTCCCCCCCATGCTGGCTGAAGAGAGGGGAGAAGAGAAGCACAGGAGCTAAGATTAGATTGGTCTAATTTATGGGATTTATAAATAGAAACTGTGGCTCAGAGTGACACAGTCAGTCAGTTTCAACCCCTCTTCCCTGACCTCTGGGTCTACATGAAGATTACAGTGGCTCACGCTATGGAGCATGAGCCCATGTACATCATAATAAAAGTAAATGAAGCTCTCTTCAGCTATCCATGGGATGGATCACCTGGACATAATAATAATAATAATAATAATAAATTGCATGCACATGAAGCTTTCCTACATCATATATCTAGTATCACCCATTTACCACAAATAGTGGTAGGATAACCTTCTGTAATTGTAAATTGTCACCAATAAAACGTCCTCATCGTCGCTCTATCACTTCTTTTCAGGATACATAGAAATATAAGCATTTGTGACTTAAAACAACAGAAAGAAGAAATGTGTGCTTGAGGCTGCTTGTTTCTCTGCTGCTCTTGTAATTGCATGTTATTTTCTCTCCCCCTCAGTCATCATCAACAATAGCAGCTTAAGCATCAAACATTAATGTCACTCTTAACAACAGTGCAATCACGTATATCGTCACTCTACTACACAATGTAGACTGCGTCATTCTTTTCGATTGCCTTGCCATTTTTCGCTCCGAGTAGCTCTGCTTTATGATGCTCAAGCCAGGCTTAGACAAATAGACAAAGTAAGAGTATCCTGCATAAGTATTTATAAAGGCCCTGCTCCACTTGATCTGGGTGAAACAAATATGTGGGTGGTGTTGACAGGGGGAACATTGACAGGGCTATTGAAATTCACATGAAAGCGATGAATCTGTGGATTTTTTACAAGTTAACTTTTTATCAAATAGGATATTCCTCCATCTAATCACACGGGTGTTATAGAAATATGCAGCCTGCAGGACAGAATTCATGGCATGTTGGTCTGTGACTGAGCCAGGGCTTTGACAATAACATAAAGATAAAGACCAAAGTAATTCACCCGAATGCTGTGCAAGGAGAAATTAGGACTAGGCTTGGGTCGTATACCGTCAATACCGTTGACACTATTTTTAGCTACTTTTTAAGTAAATACCTGCAGTCAACTTGTGCAATATGTTAAGAAATAAAGAAGATCGCATTTTTCATTTCACCTGTCACATAATTTGTCATTATGAAGCTTACTAGTAGTCCCCAGTCACGTGATGTTTGTTTACAAGCACACAACAACGAGACAGGAGCCTTGTAAATCACTCACTGTTGTCAGCACAGGCCAGGTGATCTAGTTACAGTATGGAATTTACAACTAAATGTTTGCCAGCTAGATATCTTATAACTATTAAGTTAACTGTCTAAAATGTGCTAAATGCTCTGCAGTTGTGCTTTTGGTTGGCTAATTTAGTAGCTAGTTAGCTATCTTGCTAAGTGGTTAGCTTCTTCCAAAATCAAGCTTCGCTTGGCGGTAACAGCAGAGAATCCCCTCCTGGATCAAGAGCCTTGCTGGCTAATATTAGTTTTGTGCGTGCAGCAAACTGTGAGTAGCATTTTCATTGTTACTTGTATAACTTTATGAGCTGGGATGTCTGTCCTCGTTATCATCTAGTTAGCATTCTCTATGGGATTTTACATGTTCTTGTTAGCATTGCTAATCATCGGATTACAAAGGCTCAGTGGGGTTTGAAAATAGCGCCCCTTGTGTTCAGTGCCGGTATTACCGAACATCCCGGTATGGCACAAAGTCAGTATGAAGGTATGACAATCTGGATACCGCTCAAGCCTAATTAGGACACTATTGGACAACCATATACCCAAGATCATTTTAACCAATCGACATTCGGCACATGGCAAACTCCTTTAAGGTTGACTTGATTGGTATGTTCTGCAGTACTAGATCACTGCACCATAGGATAAGTCCTGCCTTCCACCATGAAAATACTGTGAGAACTACAATAACCTTATGTGATAGTCTCATTCTGACCCTGTGACCATAACATAGGCTAAGTCCACTGGCTGACAATGGAAAGAAGTACAACATCACCCAGAAGGTAAATGATCCCTGTTCCTCCTCCTTTACCATGATTTACATCATATCTGGGTGCACTAGCACGTCCTGTGCCACCCGTCAGCCGGCATCACCTGTGCATGGCTAACTGTTGCTGAAGCAAGGTGATGAGCCCCCCAGCGGGCATGGAGGGGCAGGGTGCGAGTGAAGCTAATAATTTGCCCCCATGGCCTCTGTTAATGCAGCCCTGTGCCACTGACAGGTGGCAGACACTGATGAGCACTGACAAGGCTCGGGACGGGCGCGACACACACCAGCGCCTCTGACTTGGGCGGGCGCCGGGACAGCTCCTGTGTGAGACAGTGACGAGGACAGGAGAGGCTAAGTGAACAGCAGTGACAGCTGCATAATCCACAGGGCAGCGTCGAGCCCTGGAGGAGAGACATTGGGCATGGGGCCTCCTTGGCCATGGGGTCCTGAGGAGAAGTCAAGGCTGCTGGCTGGGCTATGCGCCAGAGCCCCATTCCATTTTCACCCCTCTGCAGGTTGGGAGGGTGTGGTGACATTAACAGTGCCCTAGAATGTATTTTAATATACTTTCCACTCTTATTAATACAGTCATATATATTGTTATACTCTTCAGTACAACAACTGACTGACTGACTGCTCTAAATCATTCAACTTGACTCTTCGACAGCATTATCTTCCATTACAAAATGATGGTAAATTTCCTAGTTTACTGCTTGGATCTGAATGTAAGTGTACACAGCTCTAGTGTAAACCACTGGTAGAATGTAAGCTTGTAAACATTTACCTAAGTGAAGAGTAGGATGTTTTTGACCCTAAACAAAGAGTGGACAGTCAACACCATCTGTGGATACGATGCTCTTCTTTTTAGTGGTGCCGTCATACAAGCAGATAGATATCATCAGAGGAAGCCATGGTAAAAGCTAAATGGCCATGGTCCGGTCTAGACAACCCAGCACCCCAACTTAACCTCTACTGTATAAACATTTACTGTAAACACACTGTTCAACTCTAGAGAACACGGTTCCCATGCTCTTCTCTTCAAACTGTTTGGGACAGGAGAGATTTAGTCAACACAGGGTCACCACAATCTCAGAGATAGGACTGGAGGACATCGCACTATCCCATCAACCGTAACTCCATACATGTGTTTTCGCTACACTTTACTGTTGTTAAACCTGTGCAAATACCCAGTAACAACATTGTATTAACATGTTGTTGTTGCTTAGTAATGGAGAACAGAGGTTTTTGTTACACAAGAAGAAATGTAATGTAATTACAAAGTCATAACATGTTGATACATTTGTAATTACAGCGTGACTACTAACTGTATAGGGACAACTATCATGCAAAGTATTTGTTGTGATTTATTGTACATGTGGCCATAAATGTGCATTGTCTTTGTTCCTGTGGGGCTGTGATGGGGTATTGGAGTGTCTGACAGTAGAATAGGTAACATGGGTGCCTAAAGGCATCCGCATGCTCTCCAGCTGAAACAGTTCGGAAGAGTTCGTGCATTTATTATGACGACATTTTGTGACATTTTTGTTCGTTTTGGACTTCGGTTAGGGGTTTTTCGGCTGTTCGGGCACACAGCATTTTTTCTGGATGCAAGCCAAAGACTGTAGACGAAGTGTACGCCCCTTAGTCGGAGATTGGTCAACAGTAGGGATTCTTCAATAAAGTCTTTGTTGTCATTCAACGAGAGATGACTCGTTTTCATGCACGTTTTCATTGAGAAATACTGCACGAAACATCTTAGATGTAAAATTGCGTGACTAAAATCTCCTTGGAAAAAACGTCCAAATGAATGACAGAGTTCTTGAGTTATCTTAGATTCGTTCTGACTGTTTTGAGGAAGTGTATACTGGCTATGGCGTCTCAAAAATGGACAAACTGTACAGCTTTTTTCTTGTTTTTCAAGTGAAGGTCTTTAAAGAGAGTATGCGAGCATACTCGTTCGCATGCTGAAGCCTTTAGGGAGGTGACACCAGACTTGAGGAGAGAGGAGGCAGTCCCTGGGTGTGTGTCTGATTCCACACACCACAGCTGGCCCACACCTGGTGCACACACACACCCATACACACACTAGGGGATGACGCCCCTGCCAGCTAGGCAGCCTCCCTCCCCTCCAGATTCCCTCACACACCTCTCCCTGTACTCACATCTTTATGGGGGAAACACATGCTGACCTCATTCTTTCATCTGGAGTCATACATTTATGTGAATGGTTTTAAATGCAATCCAAACACCAAGCGATCGAGAATTTATTGAAACAAACACACACCAAGATAACCAGGAAAAGGAACTTATGAATTGGTAAGATAGCCAGGAAAAAGAAAAACTGAATTGGTAATGGAAATGATGATAGTAAATATTGGAGAGAATGCAATTTCAGCTACAGATAATTGTATTTACTAGAAATCAGATCACTTGAGACCATGTTCATATGGAATGACTGATGGCGCTGTATAACATGTCAATGGGAGGATCCAACTGAAAAGTTGAGGAGTAATTTGGTAGTTTTGTGTTGTTAATCTATTTCTCCATTGTGATGTTTCTCAGTGAGCAGAGAGCCTTGTCTCTTTGTAGCTCATCAGACTCCCTCCATTCACCCTGGCAGATACACTGACACCTCCAACGAGTGATGAAGCCACACTGTCACAGCTCAGTGCATGCTGGATTCCCACTTCACATCAACTCTAGAAGAGGGAGACACGAACATGTGAATGTAGCCCAGGTTTGATGATAATATAGTATTGATATGGCGGAGTGCATTTATACAGGGTCTTAACCAGGTCACCAGGTCTTGAGTGTGAATGACTCATTCATGTTGTCACTTTTGAAGTCTGCCACAAATTAGGCCACTGCACACTCAACCTTATTGAATTACTTTGGTAAGCTTAGGGATAACCGAGTCCTCTGGGTAGCATGTCACATTGTTGTAACATGATTATAAACATGTTAGGACAATGTTAGGACAATGAGACATGCGGCCACTAAAGATGACCTCATGTCTGGAGCATCCCTATTATAACAGTGCTTATCATTCCTATGATTCCTGTTTGTTCTGGGGTTTTTTTTCTTTACAAACAGATTGCATGTTTCTAATTAAAAACATCACATCCTCTCTTCAGAAACCGGCTTCTCAGTGTGCTCCTCCAAATTTAGCAACTCCTGCCAACCCCCCTTGCTTTAGCTGTATTTTGAGGGTTTGTCTGTCTGTTAGAATCAGACTTCTGCTTCCCTCTGCAGTGTCACTGGAGCTGTGAATCCTGGGTATTCAAGCTGTCTGTTTCACTGGGGTTGCAGCATCTAGGCTCAGCCAGCATACAGTCTTGTGGACAGCCCATCAAACACACAGAGCAGAGCTGCATCCAAGGTAGCCAGAGAGACAGACACTATCTCTCCACTGTAATAAGTGCAGGGGAAACTGGTCTCAGATCTATTGATGGACAAGGCCTGGTGTGTCTAACTGAGGAGAAATAGCACCATGGCCTTGAAACTAAAATGGCTGTAGAGCTATTGGCAAAAATAGCAGATGACCAACCAACCATATGTCTCCTACCATGCAAAATAAGACACAGGCATGCAGTAAAGACAACGCTAAATATATAATTTATAATGTTTGAAGAACCCAGTTGCATTGCCTTTAGAGAGATGGATATTGTCTAGTGTTGGATGATACAGGACCACGGATAGATTTAGCATTAGTAGACCCATGCAGGGTCAGACTGCTTTAATAGGCTAGAGTAGGCAGTATGCATGTGTGTTGTGTATCATCACAGGCCACATCCTCAAAATGAGTGTTATTTGAGTGTATACTCTGCACAAAGGTGGTTCTTCATAGATTGTGTAGTGGGCCTACCATTAGAGAGCGATTATGTTTTCTGTCAATGGGCTATATGATAGGAGTCAGATTAGATAGATTAGACATGGGAAAATGCAAGCAGGCATTGTCATCCATGTCTATGCATGTTTACAATGAGACGTTGCACAGTTCTGACATAGGCCTACTGTAGGCCTTCCATAATACACGGATTTGATCCCAAATCACCCACCTTTTCACTCTGATGATCTGGTCCCTCATGGGCTTGATATCTTGGAAGCTCTGCTGGTTGACAAGACTGTAGACCAGTATGAAGCCTTGGCCATTTTTTATGTAAAGGTCCCGCATGGATGCGAACTGTTCGGTACCAGCAGTGTCAAGAATCTCCAGAACAGAGGGTGAGGAATCCACCTCGATTTCTTTGCGGTAAAAATCTTCTATGGTCGGGTCGTACTTCTCAATAAACGTCCCGGTCACAAACTGAACAGTGAGGGCGGATTTCCCGACCCCACCGCTGCCGAGGACCACCACTTTGTACTCGCGCATTGCTCCCTTGTTAGTTGATGATTTCAAGAGATTGTCGAAAGCTATCACTCTCCGCGCGACATAGAATAAAATATATCCGTGCAAATGGCATTCATTCGTGTCCCATTTTGAATGGATATAAAAAATACAGCCTTGCTTACCACCGCTCAGCAATGGCAAATAAAAAGCTGAGCACAAAGACTCGCTGCCCGAAGATGGATTTCATTGTAGAAATTCCCACAGGCACACCAGACATTGATTACTAGGCTATGCGCATCGAAACGATTGCAATTTAAAAATGTGCATTAAAAGGTATCAAAACGCTAGACAATGTGAAACGTGTGGTTTTTCATCTGCTTAGCTCACCATTCTATGCATCATTAAAAAAAAAAAAAACTTGCTCCAGCAAAGACATTGGAGAAAAAACAGGACGGTTCTTGATGGATTCTGGAAGAAGACTTGCGCATTTTATCTCAACAAATGTTGATAAATAAATAAATACAATTTTAAGAGTTAGGCCTATTAATATAAGTTTCGTTGCTTTTTAACCATCTCTCTCATCTCCCCGTTCCTTAAGCGTTCACGAATACAATCCTGGCCGCCATACTCTCGGGTGGAGACCCACCGCCGCCTTGTAATCAACCAGTCCCCTCTCGGTTTCCGTACCAACGAAAATGAGACGGGTCTTTCCACTCGACAGATGTGCAAAGAGTCCAATGGCTACCTATATTTGCTGTTAACCTCACTCATGACTATCTGAATGCCACACGGAAACAGCCAGTAAAATTAAAGGGTTGGATTTCCGTTCATGTGCAAAATCTCCCATCATTCGGTAACTGAAGTGACACCCTCCTAGCGCTCACCCAATCACAGAAGCAGCTTGAGGATATGTATCCAAGAGGAGGAAAGTGCGCGCAGATGCTGTTGCTATGGTAACGCTGACAGCTGTGTAGCAGCATCACTTGCATCAAAAGAGTATGAAAGCAGATCATAAACAAGCATGGTTGCCTTCTCTGTTCAGCTATTACATTCCACTCCTCTATTTGGCAAATGATAGGAGTGGCAAGGAGTGGAATGTTAGCTAAAAATACAGGTACCCAGACTACTTAAGCTGTCATTTAAACAAACAGCAGCACAATGTGAAAGCAGAGGAACCTCTTCTAGCAAAGTACCTTCTTGGACTAGACTGTATAGGCCTATACATAACTAGACACAACGATGTGGATGCATGTGGATGAGTCAATGTCTTTGCAATATCTGCTTGCGTTATCATATGCAGATGTGCATAAACAGACTATTCAATAAAAATAGCAAACATTTAGCATAAGATTTTTTTGGCTAAAATGTAGCATATTCATAAGAAGAAGACCCAATAATTCATGTATTTTCCAGAAAATGGGGTAAGACTAAAACTAACATGTGAATTGCATTCCTGAGATGGTGCATTTCATTATCTAGGCCTTTGAAATCATGTCCTCTGCTTATATAAAGACACCAAACAAATAGGCTTATTATTTCCTATGTGAATGACCAAAACAAAGGCATCACAAGCATGGCATTTATTAAAACTTTTATTTCTTTTTTTTTTTTTACATTAGATTTGACACAAAACAAAACTACTGTATATATATCATAAAAGAGCACATAATTATGCACAAATAAAACATAAACAAATTGCCACATGAACAGATTCAAAATGAGAAAGGGTTTGTACTTTTCCCCTCTGTTAAAGAGTACGGCATTACCGATGGAACCATATGTGGCACTGGCACAGCAGTTTAAGCACAACTCTGCAGTAATTGTACCACAGCCATTTAGAATGGCACCCGCCAGTTTTCTCATCATCAAGCTTTTCTCAGTAAAGTGTTTGACTGCACTCTTTACAATCTACCATTTTGGCCTCAAAATGAAAATGTCTGTAGTGAGAATTAAAACAGCATATTTCACTAAAAGCAATAGACTAAATACAATCCTTATATTTCATGAACCTTAACACATAACAACTTAAGAACAATACATCAAAGGTAAGGCAAAGTTCACTAATAAGTTTGTCTGCTCAGTTTATCAACTGTTCAGAAAGTGCTTACCCACAGGGCACACACTGGTTGAATCAACGTTGTTTCCACGTAATTTCAACAAAATTACGTTGAACCAACATGGAACATACGTTCAATTGAAGTCTGTGTCCCAGTGGGTAGGAATCATGTTACCATTGGGTCAGTAAAAGTGAACACATTCTGACAGTCCAACTCTTTTGATTGGGTGGTCTAAAATATCAACTGACTTTCAGGTGCAGCTGTATCTAGCTATAATAACATTGGAAACATTTAGCAAAACTTGAGTTGAAATTACCATTAAAATTAACATCCGTTTTCAAAGAGCATTTTTTTGTGAAAGATGCCTTCAGTGAACAATTGAAATAATTTAAGAGTATCACTGCCAGATTAGCCATACCCATGACTACATGTTTAACATACTTTTTCTGCAGTTTAAAAATAACTTTATTCTGGGAACAAAGTGCAATTCTAAACAGCTGAACAACCATCAAAACACAGCTTTTTGAGTTTTCCCTTGCCTTATGCTTTGTCAGAGGACTTTAGAGAGATCCTTTTTGGTAGAATAGATTAGAGCATTTATTGAGGGACATTTAATTGTCATGGGTAGGCTGTCAAATGCAAAAGGAATATACTACTGTAATACAAAGGCATTATGATACTGAAAATATTGTTGTATATAATTTTGCCATAAAATAGGAAATGTTCAGATTCTGGCAATACAATCTAGTGTGTTACAGTGCTCTAGAAAACGTAACAATTACATCATTTACAAAAATACAGAGCTTCCGTCATTGCAACTTTAGGTTGCCACAGAGACAAATTAATATAGTTATGAAATTATACCGTACTACAATGAAAAGTAAATTTACTTAAATGTTAATTTTTTTGGTAGACTGTGACCTATACAATAAACTGTTTTTATACATAATAAAAGCAATTCTACAGCCTTGCTCGTACTGCAGTGTGTTGTCCTGTATAGGTGACAAGGCAGTGACAAGGATGAGATGTGGAAGCTTGCCATTGGTAGCTCCAACATTCCATCCCTGGTCACAGACGGCTTTTCATAGGCTAACGTGACAGGACAGGTCATCTGAGGAACCACCAGCAGAGCAAAGCTCAGCTTAATAAATTACATTCATTTTAAAATAGAATACAACATTGTTCTATAACTAATGTTAAACAAATAAGTAAATTCCATATATTTCCATCAAACATAACATAAAAATGAACTTTTCAGAAAAGAAAAAGAAAAGTGATGAAAAAGGACAAAGATGGTAAGAGCATGCGTAATTTTAGTTTTCTGTGGATTGTCTGAGTTGATCAAACACCATGACAATATCATGATACTGGATACATTTTTGACGCATACTGATTTCACTCACACACTAAATGTAAAGGGGAGGATGAAAGACTGTGGGCAAGATTTAGACTTATAATATGCCATTTAGCAGACGCTTTTATCCAAAGCGACTTACAGTCATGTGTGCATACATTTTTACGTATGGGTGGTCCCGGGGATCGAACCCACTACCCTGGCGTTACAAGCGCCATGCTCTACCAATTGAGCTACAGAGGACTACAGAGGAGACTTTGCACCTGTGTGAAGTTTTTAACTGTTATTTTCAAGAGCAAATAAAACATACAAGTTTAAGCAAAAGGTCAAATAATGTTACATGTAGATCATTGTAAATAGTTCCATGTTTTTAACTTAGTTTTGCCTTTATATCCTACTGTAAATAACTGGTGTAGACTTTGCACAGGTGCATTGGTGGGTAAATCTGTCTGTGTTTGTAAGTGCTTGTTTTACAGACCAGTTTGTAAATACAATGAAGCTTAACATATGTAGGGTTATATGAGTTTCATTGCACAATGTGATTAGTTATGTGACCACGTCCTACCACTAAAACATTTACTGTGATACATTCTACTCGAAAGACGTTAGACAGACTATAATAACAATGCACTAAACATGAGAATATGATAAAGACAGTTGTATAAAGAGACAAAGGAGTTACCAACATACAAGCACAACACATATCCGCTTCTCCAAACTCATCTCCAATCACTTTTTAGTTGCAAACTACTTTCAACTCATGAAGAATTAAGCTAAACCATTTTACATAATGAACAATCACTGAACTTCATGCCAAAGCAGCCATGTTCAGATCTGCCAGAAATTGAAACTTGAAAGTAAATGAAAAGTTAAAGCACTAAAACTAACCCAGTGTACAAAGACTACCAATGCACTGAATTCGCCTCACACAAACGGTTGTTCATTGTGATTATTGTGAGACCGTGGAGTATGTTGAGAAACTGAGGGTTTTCTATTCAAAGTTGAATATTTTTCACACAGAGCCTTTTCAAGATGCTTGTTATGTACATTACTTTAGGCACTTCTACAGTTAAAATAAGACAGGATTAATAAGTGACCTCGGGTCACTGCAAGGTTTCCTTGCATGTGTAAGTCAGCCTTTTTACAAGGATCACCACGTCTTTCCTTTGAAGTCTTATCATACTGCTCCCTCTTTAATGTCTGTGGCCTCTGCACTATGACCAAGAGTATGACCACCTAACCCCTCACATGTCCGTGACAGCTCAGCAGACACTCACTCAGCCTTTCAGTTCCTCTAAAGTGGCTTATTTTCAGCCCACCCATCACTCTGCTAGGTCATTGGCACAGCATCTGGTATATGGTGTTGATTTGATGGATGCCAAAACAAGGCCCAACTAAAACCCTAACCAAAGAGACATAACGCAAACAGTGCAGCGCAGACAGAAACGTAGAAACAGTGGTAGCTAGATTCCTTGATCATTTCTGGAATTAGTGGCTGATTATATCATTGCCATAAGGTAGAGAAATTCATTTTCTGCTATTATCATTGGGTTTGCTGAGGCTCACTCAATTGGTTGTTCCTCCGTAGAGGCCAAGGCACACCAGGAGGGGGAGCAGTGATCCTGTTCTCAGAGAATAACCACAAGGTAAACAACAACAGGCTATCCTCTGTCACATTCATCCTTTACAAGAGTAAGAAGGACACTCTTTCTAGCCTGACTCACAAGCCAAATGCAATTTGTATATGGTGTATAAAGAAGAGCGCTTTCCAATGGTCTGTGTTTTAAATAGAAGCAATCAAGCACTTAGATGCACAATCATTATCTGCTAAAAAGTTAGGTTTGAATTGGATGAGTGTTGTGCACTTTTAACAAAACGTTAAAAAGGAAATAAAAGTAATCGTTGAATACCTTTACGATTAAATCTTCACAATCCCCAATCATGTGTGTATACATATAATAAATCAGTCATTTACATATCAGTAATGATATTAGTCCTAGCAATACAGGTATATAATTTGTATATTTTAACATAGCTCAATGTTATACATTTCCTCAGTAATCTTCTTCTCAGCATGCAGGTTGCTGTAGTTCTCGTGTGGAGCAAAAGTAGTATTTACAGAAGGGCTGTTTAGGGCCTCTAAGAGGAGCGTCTTGACACTCTGTTCCTTCCTTGTTGGTTACTTGAGGATTATCTGTTTTAGAAGCAGAGATTGAGAGAGACATCATGTTACTCAATGGTGGCATTCACAATGAACATGACCGATTGCCCTTAGGTCCAGGTTACAGTTCCAGTACATTCTTTGGTGGCAAACACAATACTGATATAGTGTTGTAGAAGAGTTATGGCGGTATATGATTAAAGAAAAAGGGTTCTTATTTGCAGAAGTAGAACAGTAGCAAAACTGTGACCAGTATAATCATATAATGCTGAAGAAACAAAGAAACCCATGAGTAAAAATACATTTGAATCCCACATGTAAAACAAACAAAATTCGGTTGATGTTAGGAACCTTTCAGATAAGATTCAGAGCTGAGGCAGTAGTCTACATACCAAAGTTATTGCTAAAACTAAAATGTTGCAAGTCTCAACGACAAAAACAAACTGAAATAGTACACTATGTATTACATGTTAATACCTGGGAGAAATAAAAGACAAACAAATCAAGCAGAATAAGCTGCAGGAGGAGGCTGGTGGTTGGCAAGTATGTTTTTGTGTTCTCTCGACACAAACCCCAGCCCCCTCCTCTCCTGCTGGAAAGAAAGAAGCACATCACCTGACCTGCCCCCCAGGTGGAAGAGTCTAAAATGGGCAACAGAGGGCAGGCACAGCGTTGTCACAAACTCACACATCCATGAAGACATACAGTATGTCCTTCCTTTGATAATAACAGCCATGTCTGAGCTTCATTGGTCTTTCATTCATTCAATTGATCTCTTTAGTCTGAGGTGCTAATTTAGGCTGCTTCAACCAATATATTTTGTTTTCTTTTTTCCCTCGCTTGACAGAATTATAGTAACGCGTGAATTAAATAAGGGGCACTTGACACTAAATAAAGCAAAAACATGCGAAAAACAATTAAGGAAATTATGCAACACAACACAACTACTATTTGCAGATGGGAGATCTCTAAATAAGTGCTTTATGTCATTACTACATGTAATACAGCATCTACAATAATGATAGTCAAGCTTGCTAATAACAAACAAGGCAACAGGCAGGAGAGAAATATGCTTTGATGACAACGGTCTCCTGCTGCCATGACGAGCACTTATTTAGAGCTCAGGGATTCATGAAAGAAAGCTTTAAAAGGAGCAAACCTGATTGGCTGGTGCTGTTGCTGCGTAGGGGACACTTGTGGCAGGAGTAGTTGCTGCAGAGACAGTAGCAGGCGTAGCACTGTACATCATGGGTACTTTTTCAGGAAGGGAACCATGGAAGCAATGAACAGGTAGGTGGAGCATTATGGTAACCATAGCAACGTTTCTTTTTTCTATATTTTTTGCATGGTGAATACAGTAAAACATTAGCAGCAAGCCATCATTAGGTTAGACCAGCAGATGGCATGCAATCACAGTGCAAAGCAAGAAAGCATTGGATAAATAATAGAGGAAAGCTGATTTAATTTGTCAGTTATTTGTCTGATTCCCAGAGAAGATTGTCACATGATACTAAACGTGTCCAATTATGACATTCAAAAAGCATGTTTTACATAGCATACAGTATCTGATCATTAGAATGGTATTTTCACTGCTGTGTTAGAAATAAGTTCCCTATTTTATACAAATAGAGGAAACGTAATTTGATATATTTGATCTTTTAGGAAAGACCAAGACACTTTAGATAACATCTCTGGGAAACTGATCAAATGTCCTAGTCCACAGAGCAGCGAAGAACTATAAAAATCAACCAGCAGTGATTGTAACTGATGTCTTGAATTTTTGAATATTTGTATTATTTACAACGGTAAAATTATCACTGCAGAGAACAAAGGACATTCAAAAACTAAATTAAATCAAAATTAGGCCAATGAGTGATGGTGAAGAGTATAAATTGAAGGCTTGAGCTTTGTCAGGGACATGGCTAACAGAAAAAAATGCCGAAACGTATTATAAAATACACTTTCTCACATGTGATTTAAAATGTGCTGGTACCTAACATATATAAACAACCTTATCTCCTGACCCAGAGACTGTTTATCCAAGCGCACATTGGAATAACAAGAATGTCCTTTAAATTAACAGCGAGAGCATTCCACCCATATTCTCCATTCATTACAGGTGATAGAAAAAATAAGCAAGGGACCTACCAATGCCGGTAGCAGGAGACATGCAAAACACTGACCCTGTGTGATTATGCAGTGGAAAGTGAGTAGAGGATAATAAAGGAGGAAAAACAGGTTAGCTAGAGTTTTCAGCATGCTTTTACACATTCTAAAACAAATACAAGCAAGACATTAACCCCTCAATGGAAACCACGTTTGTTTTTTGCTTGGTGAGAATACACAGAAACAAGCCCATGAGAAACGATGCGTCTTAGGGAGTGTAGTGTGTGGGTGTACGTGTAGGGTGTGGATAGATTACTGTTTTCCAAAGGGGGAGGTGCATGCTGAATAAAATAGCTCCTATCGACTGACATGGGAATCAGTGCTAAGGCAGCCAGGCAGTATAGTAGTTAACTCAGCAGTGAGATAAAGCATCTAACCAGAGTGCATAGTGGCGGTTACTGTTGATTATGGCTGTCAGAGGAAGGCCATGTTGAGAGAAAGAGCTAAGCTCATGATATAATGGTATAATAATACAGTGTCCTACTTAGCCATGTACTGTATCACAGCAATGTAGGCCAATGGCCTGAATTTGATAGATTTGATTAAAGCAGATCTCCTTCAACTAACCTGGATGATGTAATCTGGAAGCACTGATATATCTGCCTGCCAGGACATTGAGCTATTAAGTATGTGACAGTGGCATTAAATGTGCATCATTTCCAAAAATGTACAGCTCAAATTATAAGGTGTTGCATTAAATCATCATAGCTAGCTAGCTACATCGGACCACGAGGAAAGCAAAAAAAACAAGGAAAGACACCTGACTGACAATATGCTACTTTTTAGGCTACATGATAAATGCCCAACCAAACATTAGCAGGGAGGGAATTATAAAGGACAAGTCATAGAGGGACAGTGGGCCCTGTACCTGTGGGATAGAACGCAGACGTCTGCTGGAGCTGTGCGTTGGCCAGAGCCTGCTGGTAGTGCAACATACTGGGGTTGAAGAAGGAGCTGGCCCCGTTGCTCTTCTCCAGTGCTTGTCTCTTTGGTAGGGGCTGCAGGCAGCCATGAGGGAACACCTGTCGAGTACAAACAACATGTTAACACAACACAGCCAAAACACTTATCAGTAGCTCTATTATAAACATCCACTGGCTATGAGCTTTATATGTAAATAATAGTACAATCATTGCCAAACAGTAGAGCAAAACTGTATACAACTACTACATGACAAAATAAAGGCATTTATGATCAAATTAGTGAAAGGCTAAAACTTCATACTGTTCATTTTAACACATTTTAAATACCTATTTAATTACTGAAGGATAACTGATGGTGAAGGATTTTGTACACATACTAGATGAGTCTTAAGAGGTTGTAAAAACAAAAATGCCAAATTAAATTCTGTGAGTTGCTACAGTACAATTAATAGCTACATGCAAAGCAAAAGGTGAAAGGTCAAAGTACCAGGTCTACAGTTGCCTCGAGGGGTCGCTTCATTGCTTTGGCAGTCGACTGAGTCTTTTAATAGCAGGCAGCGAGCACATGATGGCAGTGGGCCAATGGGATTCAAGCGTATTAACATACAGGTAACAGCAAGCAGAGGTGCGTCATGGGGACAGCATTGCATTGTGGATAGGTGAGAAGGAGAAAACAAAACAAAATAATCGGAATGCAGTTTACCACCACATACAAAACAATAGGCATGCACAATAAACAAAATTAACTGATTCAAGGAAACATACGACTGACTGCTGAATTAGTATGTAAGCGTCTACTATACTCGTTAATAGCTTAATCTAATAGGATTTACAATTACAACAATACTGCGCAACAACATTGGGACTAAGGTTATTTGCTATGTAGAAAACACAACAGTAGTTAATCAAAAGTTGTTCATCATTATCAATACATTATCAATTTGAATATACAGTGTGGACTACTAAATAAATGTTGTAATAATGCATTGATTGACCTACAATTGCTTTAAAGGACCAGAATTGTACATGATACACGTCAATGTGAAATGGAGACAAAAGGTAACGCTAACAGGCATTAGCTAGGCTACTGTGAGAGGTCATCCTTGTGAAATGTATCTCTACCGAGAGCTAGGCCTAATTCATGTCATCTAGTGTGTTTTAATGACATACTAAATAGGGAGCAGAGAGAGAATGTTATACCCACTGCATTGATGATAACCTATACACAGAATGTGGAGCTCTGTTTATTATGATATTAGGCATCGAATTTGCCATTTTGTTCAATTTCTTGGCACATTTGTCACAAGAACACATTGGTCTTTCATAGTTCAACATTTTCCTGTTCAAAGTATACCTTCCCTACACTACAAAATCCCTCAGCATTACAGACGTATCAAGGTCCTAAAGTATTTACCAACTCTCTAGTAATACTATCACTGTATTACGGCAGTATTAAGTCATTCTAAAACCATGCAAAAAATGAATTTAAGACCACAAAACTGATGATAAAAATACATGGAGGAATGGAAAATAGCAGAGCTAGGGTGGAAGATACAGCACATTCTATGAAAGGCCATGCATGTTGTTTTTTAAGTGCAAAAATAAAAGTCTAAATGTGCCATTATGTGAATTGCGTACATTTGATGAGAGTAATGTTAACTGTTGAATCAGCTGTTAGAAGGTTGCTGGTGAATCTATGAATGTTTTTCTTAATCCAAAGTAATTAGCAGATACGGCTTTATTCTTAGACTTGTTGGAAGTTTAAGATAAAGGCAAAACCAACAGTAGGCAATAGATCGCGATGAAACAAGACAGTAGCTATAGAAACAGGGTTAACTTTGCAGTAGCTGGCAATTTGAACATAGATTTTCAAAAAGCATGGGAAGCAAGCAAATCTTTAGTTAAACAGCTAGCTAGGTAAAGGTTAGCGTCACATAAGGAGATATACAGTGGGGTCTGAAATGATTGACACCCTTGATAAAGATGAGCAAAAATGACTATAAAATAAATCATTCAAATACTGAGCTATATTGTATGCTAAATAAAACAAGTGTGGAAATTATATTGTTTTATACTAATGCTCAGAAAAATAGTTTTTGTTTAACAAGTAAAACAAAAATTTTCTCAAAAAGGTAGGGGTAAAAATTATTGACACCCGTTTTCTGTTCCTTTCAATACCTCACCTTGCGAGGGTAACGGCACTGAGCCTTTTTTCAAAAAATGTTTTATGAGTTGGAGAACATACGGGAGGGATCTTAGACAGTTCCATAGAAAATTCTTACAGATCCTTGATATCCTTTGTCTGAGCTTATGGACTGCCCTCCTGTTTCATGTCCGGAGACTGAGATGGCCATTGCAAAATGTTCATTTTGTGGCCAATTAACAATTTATTTGTGGATTTTGATGTGTGCTTGGGGTTATTGTCTTACTGTAAGATCCACTTGCGGCCGAGTTTCAGCCTCCTGGCAGAGGCAACCAGGTTTTGGGCTAAAATGTCCTGGTACTGGGTAAAGTTTATGATGCCATTGACCTTAACAAGGGCCCCAGGACCATGGAAGCAAAATATCTCCATAACATCAAAGATCCACCACCATATTTTACAGTAGGTATGAGGTTATTTTCTGCTCATGCATCCTTATTTAGACTCCAAACCCACCACTGGTGTGTGTGGCCACAAATGTAACAAATGTAAATGCCTGGAGTTTGCTAAACAGCATTGGCACTTGGATTGGAACCGGTGCTTTGGTCAGATGACATGAAAATGTAGCTCTTTGGCCACGCACACGAGCAAGACAATAACCCCAAGCACACATCAAAATCCACATAGAAATGGTTAATTGGCCACAAAATCACAATTTTCTCAGTCTCCGGACTTGAACCCCATTGAAAACCTGTGGTGCAGTCCATAAGCGCAGACGAAGGATATCATGGATCTGGAAGGATTCTGTAAGAAGGAAGGGTCTAAGATCCCTCCCAATGCCGTTATCCTCGCAAGGTAAGGTATTGAAAGATATTGAAAACAGGGGTGTCAATATTTTTAACCCCTACCTTTTTGAGAAGACAAATTCTTACTTGTTAAACAAAATCTCTTTCTCTGAGCAATTGTATTAGTATAAAATAATATAATTTCCCAATATTTTTAGCATATAATATAGCTTTTTTGCTCATCTTTATTAGGGGTGTCAATAATTTCGGGAACGCACTGTACGCAAATGAATGGTTATGCTATGTGACAGTTTAAAGGCAACTTGAGGACTACTGCATACTGAGCAGCTGACAGTCTTAAGAGCGTATATTAGATGTAACAGTCTTTAATGTTTAATGAAGCTACTTCATATATAAAAAATAAAGCGGTGCTCCACATTCTATGATGTTGGTTAATCAACCAACAGTGGGTAATTGAATAGGATTAAGACAGTAAGCCTACTGCTGTGAATGTAGAATACATTGTATTAAAAATAAATAGGACAAGTTGCCCTTAATTAAGAAGGAATCCTACAATACAGAAGCTATACTAGCCAATAGTGTGTGCTCTAAGCTTCTGTCCACGCGTCTGGAGGGAAGCATCTTACCATGGCTGCAGCTGCTGCCTGAGCTGCCACAGTCGATTGGTTGACCTGGTGTTGAGAGGCTTTGATTTTGGCCTGTAAGTGAGCAGGGGGGTGGAAGTACTTGCACTTCTCCCTGGAGCAGCGCGACTTGATGTAGTCCATGCAGACGGTGACCGTGTTGTCGCTGGTGTCGATCATGGGGTTGTCGCTGGGGTGGGCGAAGCGGCAGTCCGTCTCGCCTCGCGCACAGTTCCCCCGCTGAAACTCACGACACACCTACAGTACGACAACCACACAGGGAGGGAGACTGAGAACGGTAGAGCACCCTGGCAATGTACCCTGTTTGCCACACTCAACAGGCATTCCATAATGAATGTATATATACAGCATATATCAGACAATAATATGGCCTTGTTCTTGTTTGTGTGAAGGTGACTTGATACCTCCAGTTTGTCGGTGCGCAGCAGCTTCTGTGAGGGGGAAGAGGAGGACGAGTTGGAGCTCTGGACTGTGACAGGGGGGCTTCCAGGGACCATGACTTGGGTACTGGGGAGCATCTCTGTGGGCATCAGGCTCATCCCATGGTTCATGGAGGTCATGGGTGTAAGATATGGAGAGTAGCTGAGACCAGGGTTCGTACCAAGCCCCTGGTTTACATTGAACGTAGGCTGTGAAAGGGAAGGGACAACAGTCAGTAAAAACACTACTACACGCCTGAAATGAAGGATCTGAGTTTTGGTGTATAATAAACTGTACTTACTACTGAATATGAGTAACTTACTACAGGCTGCATGCTTGTGCCTGGGATCATGAAGTGCATCTGCTGGGCCAGCATGGCTGCTGCCGTCTTCTGCTGGATGAGGTTGTTGCGTCCGTTAATCTCTAGCTGGGTTTTTAAATGCGAAGGTGGATGAAGGTACTTACAGTTTTCTCTTGAACATCGACCCTAGAGTAAGAACACACAAAAAAGCCAACTATTAGATAAAGAAAAATTCCCTGAACCTTTTACTGCAGTGGGCTAAATCAGGGTCACACAGTGTTTCTTGGTAGTCTTAAACCAATCTATTTAGAAACAAAAGTATTCACACATGGTAATGGGCTTAAAAAAAGAAGACATAGGGCCTCCCGAGTGGCGCAGCAGACTAAGGCACTGCATCACAGTGCTAGAGACGTCACTACAAACCCGGGTTCGATACCAGGCTGTGTCACAACCGGCCGTGACCGGGAGTCCCATAGGGTGGCGCTCAATTGGCCCAGTGTTGGCCGGGCTTTACTTGGCTTATCGCGCTCTAGCGACTCCTTATGGGGGCCTGCAGGTTGACTTCGGTCATCAGTTGAACAGTGTTTCCTCTGACACATTGGTGCTTCCAAATTAAGCGGGCGGGTGTTAAGAACTGCGGTTCGGCGGGTCACGTTTCGGAGGACGCATGACTTGACCTTTGCTTCTCCCGAGCCCGTTGGGGAGTTGCAGCGATGAGACAAGATCGTAATTGGGGAGAAAAAAAATATATATCTGTACCATGTCAGATATAGAGTTGAAATGTATGATTTTTTGAGTTTGTATCCCAATATTACACTTTATAAACATCACAGAAGACTGAAATATAACAAAACCATTTGACATAGAAACACTGTATTTTCAGCATTTCTTTGTAAAAAAATGTCCTGAACATACAGTACCTCACTCCTCTCAGACCAAAACCATTCAGCTCAGAGGACAGGACACAATGCAATATCACAGGAACACAATCATGGTGACAAAGAATCACGCCTTCACACTCAATATGTTTTTCTGTGGGGACAGATAGTGAGGTAGTTTTGATGATGCTATTGTTATGGCACAGAGGCAGTATGATTGACAGAGAGGAGAACATTGTTCCCTACGACAAAAGCACATAGGGGATGGATTCTTGCAGAGTAATGGAACAGAAAAATGTTTGAAACACTCTTTTGTCATAAGTGCTTCATAAGTGCTTCTATGATCAGGAGGTAATCCACAGACACACTATGAGTCATTTATGAGAATAATAATGTACAAAGTTGATTGATAGGCCAAAACTTTTAATTTAGCAGGAAATCAGTAGCCTACAGCCTACACATTATGAGGTGGTCACTGATCAAGTAGACCTTGTAGTAGGCTAGTGTTCAATAGGCTAATGTTACATAATGAAGGATGGTTGTGTAGGATGATGAATAAAGGACAAGAAAGCTAGCTGTGACCCACTGCACTATTGCTAACTAGCCGTAGGCTTGAAACCTACCAGCTAAAAGAGGCTTAGGGGAAAAGCTGAATGGCCAGAAAATGTCTCTGAGCTTGCCAACGTAGGGAATCTCTTCACACTGACATCCCATCCTCTTTGTAATGGAACAGTAGAATCCAAAGTCCATTCACAACAATTCAGATGTCAGCCTGATAGCATCCTGTACTCAGCTCTGCTCACTTGACCCGGCAATGATTCTTAGCCTGACCTCAAACCCATTGCTAAATATTTTTCACACAAGTAGAGTAGCTCACTTCTGAGTAGCAGGGACTTGAATTAGACAGCCACCTGAACTTGAGTTACACTAAATAATATTTTGCTGGCAAATCATTAAAGCAGTGATATCGCTGTCAGTCAAAAGAGTGAATTAATGAGAGATTAGCTGTCTATGTCCTACATATTCAAATGAGGAAATCCTTCAATAATTCATGTCAATGGAACTAATTTCGTAAACAGATTAGAGCTACTGAACTCATTTGTGACGCTCCCCTGAGATTGATATAAATGATTACCAGGGAACGCCCACATGGACCGCCACATCATTTTATAAGGGAATGACAAACCCTTTTGGAAAGTTGCCAGATATCAAAGTTAGGGTTTGGATCAGGGTTAAAGTCAAGCTATTGCGTAATGGAATTTGGCCTGACCTCTTTGCCTACCAGTCCTGATCGACTGTGGCTCCCAGACGAGATCATTCGAATAACAACATTTGGCTAAAGTAAAACACAGCATAGGCTACTGCAAACTCGGCATTTCCTGCGCTAACTGAGTCATGATGCTTATTCAATGAATGGGAAGCAGACACTGCTTTTGTCAGCCTTTGCTATGGACACACACACACATACACACACAGACTTCCATTATATCAATGGAAGTCTATTCCACATTAATGAGACACAGACGAACTGTTTATTCAGCCAACAAAAGAGCTAAAACACAGTTCTGTGTTCTTCATTAACAAAGGTTCCAAGTCCTTTAGGGATGCATGAGTTCAAATTGGCTTTCTTACCCAGGCCCCTCATTTACGTGTCTTCCATTCATGGCAAATGAGAGGGTCTGAATTATTTTGAGATGTGAAGAGCATACATGCAGCTGTGACAAACAACACAGGCTCCCTGTTCACCCCTCACAAAACACAGCCATGTATCTAGTCTCTGAAGAATAAATCATGTCATCAGTTTGACAAATACGCTTTTTCAATCTTTCTCCTTGACACCCACAGCATCTTCAATAGATACCTTTGAACAATCAGTATGAACAGAGTAGGTAGGTACACTTAAAAAGATCTGTGGAACTACTACCATTAGCCCAATTCCTTCCCCTTGAAGGTTGGTACAGTAATAGCCTTTATTCCTAGGTGCACAACTCAAAAAGTGCTTTAGTCTGTACTCTGGCCTGTCCCAGATAGCTCATGTTATCTATCAACTTAAGGCTCTATTTGAGCCACAATATCCCGATAACCCAGCCTTGTCCTCAACTATTTCTGCTGGCTGCTAAAAGTCTCTTGTCGCCCCAGACATCCTGGAGTTTGATGCCAGGCCAGGAAGCGGGCAAAGTGGTAACAATTGCTTTCTGACAAGAGAGCAGAGCCCACACACTGGTCTCTTATCTGCGCTTAAAAGAGGGTAATGTCTTTCTCAGGTGTGGGAGGATGATAGTGGTACCTTGGCCAGAATTGGAGACGGCCAGACATCAGAATTGTCTAAGGTTTACAGAGAGCTGCAGGTAGCCTAGTTGAAGTGTCTGGTTTAAGTCTAGAATCCCAGGTTTGGCTATTGCAGAGGCTATTTCACATGACAACATTTAACGACAGTAGCCTATGTGAAGACTAGAAATGATCCCAACAAAATAGTGAGCCATAGAAATGGGATCTACATTTGTACTCTTTGTGCAATTGACAATCAGCAGTTTTAATTTTCTACAGCTCTAGAGTAATGGGCTGATTCATTAGCGGAGCACTTAAATTAAGGAGAATGCTTTGTGTCGGTGTAGCGTTCCATTTCGAACGCAACCAGAGGAGGTGTGAATACTGCAGCAGGATAAAAGGATAATTGTTCAGTGAGTGTTAAATGCCTCATGGGAATGGTTGTGGTGGGAGAGCTGCATTTGGATTCGTTTGGTTGAGAGCTCATAGATGTGTCAGGTAGCCTAGGTTGACACAATGAGAAACAATAATGGGAAATCCTCCACTGGCTCCATAAGTTCTGTTGATATCCGTTAGTGGGACACTTTTCTGGAGCTGATCGGATTCATATTTGCCTCTATTTAATAAAAGGCAACAATTGGGACATTTCAAAGTCAACATGTAGGCCTATTTACAATGGTCTATGTTTCACTTTCACATTCTCTCTCACATGGCTACACCTTGTAAATAAACACACAGACTCAGACTTACCTCATATTCCCCGGGGTAATTCAATAGCCTGTGTGTTTGTGTCTCCTCTAATAATCCTACAGATGGGCTATAACAAAAACTGCTGAGAAACTAGAAATTAATATGCTAATAACATAGCTGAGCTGTTGTCTCTTAAGCCTGGCTTTCCACTGCAGTGAGAGTGCTAATTCCAAACACATTACCCGCCTTCCCTCCTCCTGTTTTCCTGCTCTCCCACATCATATCATCTGCAGTGAGCTCCTGCAGCTAGGCCACACGCTCACCCACCCAGCTCTCACACTAACTCAATACTGCACAGCCCACAGCCTAATCCACATCAGGGGGGCAAAGGCCCACACCGCACTGTGTGCCACTTCAGCAAACATCAACAGCAACCTACACCAACAAATGCCATACACCGTAATGTAAAAGAGCACGAGAGGCTCTCGCTGCTTCACTGAATCCGATATTGAGCAGCAGAGCAGCCTATCTCCCTTTAGGTTCCTAACAGCTATTCTCTGGCTGCTATAGCCCTGCTCAGCTCCAGCTCTCTCTCCAGGTGGTAGTGGTGAGGGCTTTGATGTCATGAACAGGATGCTGGATGAGCCTGGAATGTGAAAACCGTGTAGCACCTGAACCAACAATCACCAACTGCTCATACTCACATGCATGAAGGCATCTACACTCGTAGAAACCAAAAGGGTTCTGCAGCTGTCCTCATAGGAGAACCCTTTTTGGTTCCAGGTAGAACCCTTTTGGTTCCAGGTAGAACCCTTTTGGTTCCAGGTAGAACCCTTTTGGGTTCCATGTAGAACCCTTTCCAGGGTTCTACATGGAACCCAAAAGAGTTCTTCCTGGAACCAAAAAGGATTCTACCTTGAACCAAAAAGGGTTCTCCTATGGGGACAGCTGCAGAACCCTTTTGGAACCCTTTTTTCTAAGAGTGTAGGCTACAATGGCTATCTGCTAAGGTGCTCTTTTGTTTCTCTGATATCATGGCTTTGTCTGGTAGGCTACATAGTCATGCCCAACAGGAAGTAGGTAGAATAAAAACACAACATGCTGGCTTGTGAAGTCTAAATATGGTTACAACTCTTCACTAATCAGCCAGATGTTTAACTCGTTATTTACACTTGAACTTAGGATACGTACATTCTCATTGTAGTATAATGTAATGAAAGGTCTAGTATAATTTTCTGCTTTTCTGAAGAAGGCATATTGATCCTCTGAGTGCCTAAAACTAACATCTTAACAGAAACTATTTTACACACACAGAGTGGAGAGTGGAACAGGCACAATGTCATCCAAGATCCATTTACAAGTGCGTGTGCCGTATTCCTTTCCAATAAATGCTTTAATTGATGCAAATAATATTGACGTGAATATACATTATTCAGGTTAAGAGGAAATGTTGAATCAATAATTAGTGCTTAGGCTAGGAGTGAGTATAAATAACCAATGATAATGACGTTAGCAGCACAGAAAGGTCTTTGGGAGACGCATGCAACGGTAAGCATACCATACTAGCCTATAGATTTATGTAAATTGAGTGAGTATAGGGAACAGAGGAGGTACTGTAGATTTCTGGGGGAATTCTGGGTCTGAAGCCATTAGGCTTAATACAATAGTGTTTTCATCTGTACAATGCATGGCCTTTCATGGCATTTCCTGGTCCTCAACGCATTAAAAGGGAGCACACGGTCTTATGGGGCACGGCAGTCTCAGCTACTGTAAAAACACTGACAAGACTGCCGTGAATGAGGGAGGAATACAGGAAATCAGAAATAATGACTCTGGGTGATGAACAGGAGCCTCAATTCGCATTACTTCTGAAAGGAAGGTGGTGCAGGTGCTGACTGCTGAGGGAGAGGGCTGACTAGGGGTGAGGTAGTGATGTAGTAGCCCCCCTCATCATAAGAAAGGAGTGTAGAGATCTCATGTACTGTAGCTCTGATCTCTTCATGAGGTGTAGAGTAGTTCTCTCAGTCTGTCTTTGGTTCTGTTACTTTCACCTGCTGGTTTGGTGTGACAGCCTTGTTCCTACTGTGAAATGTTAAGCATTGGTGGAGTTCCATTCCCTTTCACACGTGGACTCTGTCGACCCCTGGTCCACCCCTCTGATGGCCTTTGCTCGAGTCCTCACTGCACAGCTGTTCTAGAAGAATGCCACTGGTGGAGGCATTCATAATGCAAGATGGTTGTGCTGGATTTACAGGGGTAGAAACAACTTTTAAAAGTTCTGCCACTGTTTAGAAATAATTTGAGCTCTATTAACAAAATAGGATTTACACCGGCTTTAGAGAATTTCATTTCACAATGATGCATTATTCATGTCTCACCCACCTAATGCCAAAGTCACCCTTAATATGAGGCAGATGTTCAGTGATCAATTTACATAATAGAATATCAATGTCATATCACACATTGTCTCAGATTACATTGTGAGAGGAGAATAAATAGCTGCCTTCAACGTTAGGCTATTTGGATGAGGTATCACAGAATAACAAGAGAAGGTTTTATGTTTTCCCTTGGAGTAGCCTAAACCCTCCACATCTAAAACAGGATACACAATACATGATCTACTGGCCAATAAAAGTACAAGCTCACGAAACAGAGTAGCCCTTTTTGTGATGTACTGTATCTGATGGAAGCTCTGTTCATAAATCTTTGTTAGCGCAGCAGCAGACGTGAAGCAGATAAATTTGACTAATCCCAGTATAACAGCATGTGCTGTGCTGTGCTGGCCACCCCACCCACACACTGAATGTTAAACACCACACAATAAACAAAACAGCCCGAAATGCTGGGGAGTGGCCTGAGCACAAAATACACAATTCATATTTGCTCCTCAGTACTGTTTGGGATAGGGTAAACGTCCCTATTAAGCCCACGTACCATATACAGTGGCTTGCGAAAGTATTCACCCCCCTTGGCATTTTAATTAAAATTGATTTTTGTGGGGTTTGTATCATTTGATTTACACAACATGCCTACCACTTTGAAGATGCAAACTATTTTTTATTGTGAAACAAACAATCTTTTGCAGCAATTACAGCTGCAAGGCTCTTGGGTTATGTCTCTATAAGCTTGGCACATCTAGCCACTGGGATTTTTGCCCATTCTTCAAGGCAAAACTGCTCCAGCTCCTTCAAGTTGGATGGGTTCCGCTGGTGTACAGCAATCTTTAAGTCATACCACAGATTCTCAATTGGATTGAGGTCTGGGCTTTGACTAGGCCATTCCAATACATTTAAATGTTTCCCCTTAAACCACTCAAGTGTTGCTTTAGCAGTATGCTTAGGGTCATTGTCCTGCTGGAAGGTGAACCTCCGTCCCAGTCTCAAATCTCTGGAAGACAAACAGGTTTCCCTTAAGAATTTCCCTGTATTTAGCGCCATCCATCATTCCTTCAATTCTGACCAGTTTCCCAGTCCCTGCCGATGAAAAACATCCCCACAGCATGATGCTGCCACCACCATGCTTCACTGTGGGGATGGTGTTCTCAGGGTGATGAGAGGTGTTGGGTTTGTGCCAGACATAGCGTTTTCCTTGATGGCCAAAAAGCTCAATTTTAGTCTCATCTGATCAGAGTACCTTCTTCCATATGTTTGGGGAGTCTCCCACATGCCATTTGGCGAACACCAAACTTGTTTGCATATTTTTTTATTTGGACAGATACTCCAATCTCCGCTGCGGAGATTTGAAGCTCCTTCAGGGTTATCTTTGGTCTCTTTGTTGCCTCTCTGATTAATGCCCTCCTTGCCTGGTCCGTGAGTTTTGGTGGGCGGCCCTCTCTTGGCAGGTTTGTTGTGGTACCATATTCTTTCCATTTTTAATTATGGATTTAATGGTGCTCCGTGGGATGTTCAAAGTTTCAGATATTTTTTTATAACCCAACCCTGATCTGTACTTCTCCACAACTTTGTCCCTGACCTGTTTGGAGAGCTCCTTGGTCTTCATGGTGCCGCTTGCTTGGTGGTGCCCCTTGCTTAGTGGTGTTGCAGACTCTGGGGCCTTTCAGAACAGGTGTATATACAGTGGGGAAAAAAAGTATTTAGTCAGCCACCAATTGTGCAAGTTCTCCCACTTAAAAAGATGAGAGAGGCCTGTAATTTTCATCATAGGTACACGTCAACTATGACAGACAAAATGAGATTTTTTTTCTCCAGAAAATCACATTGTAGGATTTTTTATGAATTTATTTGCAAATTATGGTAGAAAATAAGTATTTGGTCAATAACAAAAGTTTCTCAATACTTTGTTGGCAATGACACAGGTCAAACGTTTTCTGTAAGTCTTCACAAGGTTTTCACACACTGTTGCTGGTATTTTGGCCCATTCCTCCATGCAGATCTCCTCTAGAGCAGTGATGTTTTGGGGCTGTCGCTGGGCAACACAGACTTTCAACTCCCTCCAAAGATTTTCTATGGGGTTGAGATCTGGAGACTGGCTAGGCCACTCCAGGACCTTGAAATGCTTCTTATGAAGCCACTCCTTCGTTGCCCGGGCGGTGTGTTTGGGATCATTGTCATGCTGAAAGACCCAGCCACGTTTCATCTTCAATGAAGGAGGTTTTCACTCAAAATCTCACGATACATGGCCCCATTCATTCTTTCTTTTACACGGATCAGTCGTCCTGGTCCTTTTGCAGAAAAACAGCCCCAAAGCATGATGTTTCCACCCCCATGCTTCACAGTAGGTATGGTGTTCTTTGGATGCAACTCAGCATTCTTTGTCCTCCAAACACGACGAGTTGAGTTTTTACCAAAATGTTCTATTTTGGTTTCATCTGACCATATGACATTCTCCCAATCCTCTTCTGGATCATCCAAATGCACTCTAGCAAACTTCAGATGGGCCTGGACATGTACTGGCTTAAGCAGGGGGACATGTCTTGCACTGCAGGATTTGAGTCCCTGGCGGCGTAGTGTGTTACTGATGGTAGGCTTTGTTACTTTGGTCCCAGCTCTCTGCAGGTCATTCACTAGGTCCCCCCGTGTGGTTCTGGGATTTTTGCTCACCGTTCTTGTGATCATTTTGACCCAACGGGGTGAGATCTTGCGTGGAGCCCCAGATCGAGGGAGATTATCAGTGGTCTTGTATGTCTTCCATTTCCTAATAATTGCTCCCACAGTTGATTTCTTCAAACCAAGCTGCTTACCTATTGCAGATTCAGTCTTCCCAGCCTGGTGCAGGTCTACAATTTTGTTTCTGGTGTCCTTTGACAGCTCTTTGGTCTTGACCATAGTGGAGTTTGGAGTGTGACTGTTTGAGGTTGTGGACAGGTGTCTTTTATACTGATAACAAGTTCAAACAGGTGCCATTAATACAGGTAACGAGTGGAGGACAGAGGAGCCTCTTAAAGAAGAAGTTACAGGTCTGTGAGAGCCAGAAATCTTGCTTGTTTGTAGGTGACCAAATACTTATTTTCCACCATAATTTGCATAATAATTCATTAAAAATCCTACAATGTGATTTTCTGGATTTTCTTTTCTCAATTTGTCTGTCATAGTTGATGTGTACCTATGATGAAAATTACAGGCCTCTCTCATCTTTTTAAGTGGGAGAACTTGCACAATTGGTGGCTGACTAAATACTTTTTTTCCCCACTGTATACTGAGATCATGTGACAGATCATGTGACACTTAGATTGCACACAGGTGGACTTTATTTAACTAATTATGTGACTTCTGAAGGTAATTGCACCAGATCTTATTTAGGGCCTTCATAGCAAAGGGGGTGAATACATATGCATGCACCACTTTTCCGTTATTAATTTTTGAATATTTTGAAACAAGTTATTTATTTCATTTCACATTACCAATTTGGACTATTTTGTGTATGTCCATTACATGAAATCCAAATAAAAATCCATTTAAATTACAGGTTGTAATGCAACAAAACAGGAAAAACGCCAAGGGGGATGAATACTTTTGCAAGGCACTGTATATAAAAAATGTCTGAAAAGCGGATTTGGTGGTCTTAATAGGGACGTTTACCCTACAGATTAAGCGGATTAAAAGTGATTCTGAGGACAGTGCGTGTATTGTCTTTTTGACATGTTATAAGCCTATAAGCTTTCGTCCCGTATCCAGAGGCAGAATAAACATTTGTATTGCTCACCACATTTCACCATTCTGGTGTCAGCCTCGTTTAACCACCTGAAACATGAAGTCTTCAAGTCTCATTCCCCCCCAAATGTGTCAGGAGGGAATTAGGACTAGATTAAGTTTCACACTCTGAGCTATGTTGACAGCCATTCAAGACGCATGGAATGGATGTTCCATTAATATTCCTGCTGCTGCTTTCAATACCTCTCAGGGATGTCAGCTAGGGCTAAATAAGCTTTACTATACAATTAAAGGTAAAATACACTGCATTTAAAACAGTCAGCAATAATGTAATGAATTTAGAGCTTGTGAAATTATACCTAGGCTAAATATAGCCTTTCACAATCATAAGACCCACTAATAATGTAATTATTTTATCAAAACAGTTTAACCTGCTTTGTTAGAAAAATCACTAATCTGGATTTCAAGTTAGTCTATGAAAATGCCCTTTTTGTTCCAAATTTAACCAGAAACATGCATAATGCACTTTCACTAATAATTTACATTTAAGTCATTTAGCAGACGCTCTTATCCAGAGCGACTAACAAATTGGTGCATTCAACTTAGGATAGCCAGTGGGACAACCACCACTGGGGGAGGGGGGAGGTGTAGAAGGATTACTGTTATACTATTCCAGGTATTCCTTAAAGAGGTAGGGTTTCAAGTGTCTCCGGAAGGTGGTCAGTGACTCCGCTGTCCAGGCGTCGTGGGGAGCTTGTTCCACCATTGGGGTGCCAGAGCAGCGAATAGCTTTGACTGGGCTAAGCGGGAACTGTGCTTCCGTAGAGGTAGGGGGGCTAGCAGGCCAGAGGTGGATGAACGTAGTGCCCTTGTTTGGGTGTAGGGTCTGATCAGAGCCTGAAGGTAAGGAGGTGCCGTTCCCCTCACAGCTAATGACTAACTTCTTGTAGCAGGCATTTTAGAAAAATCTCTCAAGCACAAGCCCACGTGCTACTATGTCCTGTGTGTTTGGTAGTGGTAGTGGAGCGAGTGAGTGTTATAGTAGTTTTCCATCGTGAAAAGAACTAGACACGGACACAAATGATCTGTTTAGTGTGTTAACACACTATTGGTAG